ACGACCAACCCAGCACGACCAACCCCAGAACGACCAACACCCCAGCACGACCCCACCCAAGCACGACCCCAACCCAGCACGACACACACCCCCGCACGACCACACCCCAGAGGGACACCACCCAGCACGACCCCACCAGCAAGACCACACCCAGGCACGACCCACACCCAGCAACGACTCACCACAGCACGACCACACACAGCACCACGAACCACGCCCAGCACGACCACCCCCAGCACGACCACACCCCAGCACGACCTCACCACAGCACGACCACACCCCAGCACGACCACGCCCCAGCACGACCACGCCCCAGCACGACCACGCCCCAGCACAACCACCCCCCAGCACGACCCCCCCCCCAGCACGACCACCCCCCAGCACGACCACCCCCCAGCACGACCACACCCCAGCACGACCACTCCCAGCACGACCACACCGCCTTGGTTGAGTGGTTGCCTGTCGTCGTGGAATGTTTCGTGGGGTGTCTCGTGGAATGTTTCGCGGGGTGTCTCGTGGAATGTTTCGTGAGGTGTCTCGTGGAATGTTTCGTGGGGTGTCTCGTGGGATGTTTCGTGAAGTGTCTCGTGGGATGTTTCGTGAGGTGTTGCCCAGTTGGGTATCGTGAAAACGTGTCCATGCTCCACATGTCTATATCCCTTTCCGGGTTCGTGGGTCCATCATGTCATGCCCATCAAATGCGACCAAACGCGCGCGCATGTCGAAAACATTCGAGCGCCCTTGCGCTCGCGCGGGGGGGGTCGGGCACGATACCTGTCAATTCGTACCATGCTGGCCACCCTCGCGCGTCGGCGGCGCGCGCATCTCGACATCCTTTCAAAAACCTTCATCGCCGACGCGTGGACACCATCATCGTCACCGGTGTGATCAATATCCACGCTGTCACTGGCCTTGCCGTCGTCATTGTCACAATTGCCGCCAGCATTGCTATTCACATCATGGTGTTTGCCGTCGTCGGCGTCGCCATGGTACCGCGCCCGCCCGAGTCACCGACTCGCATTGGAGTGTCCGCGCGTCAGCTTGGCCTGCGAGACGCGCTGGGACGTGCGCAGCGGTCAGCGCCTCCGCGGCCACGTCGTTCGCGCCAGACCAGCTGGCCGCTTGACGCGCGAGCCTGCGCGCGTTAGCGCGGCCAAAGCGATGCGCCGTCAGCGCCAAGCAGCCACCGCAATCCCCGCGGCATGGGTTTTGCAAACCACTTTGCCGGTGGGTGGTTGGGATGATTGCGCGAGCAGTGGCGTTGTCAACTTCAGGTTCCCTTCAATTTTTTGCATCGCATGTATTGCACCGCGTAGATTGCACTACGTCGGTCGCACAACGTAGATGACACCGCTCGACTGCACACCATTGGTCGCGCCACGCAAAGAACACCACATCGATTGCGCCACTTGGAGTGTGTTCTGCATAAATATTACCACGTAGGTTGCACAGCGTAGTTTGCGCCACATTTATTGCACCACATCGACTACACCACAAATTTCGCGCACCATCGGTTATCGATGTTTTCACGTATTTGACCACGTATATTGCGCCACGTTGGTCGTATCGCATCAATTTCGCCACGTACGTTGCACAACATAAGCTGCACCACGCCGGTGTCACCACACAGCTTGCGCACCATTTAAAGTGCGCCCCCCTGTATCGCTTGCACCATATGTTTATACATGTATCGATGTATACTATAATTTCCATGCGTATGTATGTATGTATGTATGTTTATATACACATATATATATAAATATATATGTATATCAACATTTTTCCCGGAAAGGGCCTGAGCCCAGGGCTCTCTTTTAGTTGGTTTCCCCCCGGTTTTGACGGTTGTAGGGCCGGCGAATTTCTTTTGCGATAAATAACGAGGTCGCGTAGGGCCGGCGAATTAAAAATTGAGGATGTCCCTAGCGAAACGCTTGTTTTTGAAATCGCGATCGATAAATCACAGGGTGCGGGCACTTTTTCGTGTGTTGAGGATGTCTCGAGCGAAACGCTTGCTCCGCAGAGTTTGCCCAGGATGTCTCGAGCGAAACGCTTGTTTTGCAGAGCCGACCGCGAAGCGGAAAAAGCGCCCCGCGCGAAGGAATTTCGATGATGTCTCGACTAATTCGTTTGTTTTTGTACGATTTCCTGGAATTTTGGCAGGATGTCTCGAGCGAAATGCACGACCCCACCCTAGCACGACCATCCCCAGCACGACCACACCCCAGCACGACCAGATCCCAGCACGACCCCACCCCAGCACGACCCCACCCCAGCACGACCATACCCCAGCACGACCACACCCCAGCGCGACCCGACCCCAGCACGACCCTACCCCAGCAAGACCACACCCCAGCACGACCACACCCCAGCACGACCTCACCACAGCACGACCACACCCCAGCACGACCACGCCCCAGCACGACCACGCCCCAGCACGACCACGCCCCAGCACGACCACCCCCAGCACGACCACCCCCCCAGCACGACCACGCCCCAGCACGACCACCCCCCAGCACGACCACACCCCAGCACGACCACTCCCCAGCACGACCACACCCCAGCACGACCACCCCAGCACGACCACACCCAGTCCACCACCCCGTGGAATGTTTCGTGGGGTGTCTGGTTGAGTGGTGCCCTCGGGGTGTCTCGTGGAATGTTTCAGGGTGTCTCGTGGTTTCGTGAGTGTCTCGTGGAATGTTTCGTGAGTGTCTCGTTGGGATGTTGCGCTGGGTGTCTCGTGGATGTTTCGTGAGATGTCGCCCAGTTGGGTATCGTGAAAACGTGACCATGCTGCACATGTCTTTATCATCCCTTATCCCATGATGGACCCACGAACCCGGAAAGAGATAAAGACATTGCGCAGCATGGTCACGTTTTCACGATACCCAACTGGGCGCATCTCACGAAACATCCCACGAGACACCCCGCGAAACATCCCACGAGACACCTCACGAAACATTCCACGAGGCAACCTCACGAAACATTCCACGAGACACCCCGTGAAACATTCCACGAGACACCCCACGAACAGGCAACCACTCAACCAGACACGCCACGAAACATTCCACGGGGGTGCGACTGGTGTGGTCGTGCTGGGGAGTGGTCGTGCTGGGGTGTGGTCGTGCTGGGGGGTGGTCGTGCTGGGGGGTGGTCGTGCTGGGGGGGTGGTCGTGCTGGGGGGTGGTCGTAGTGGGGCGTGGTCGTGCTGGGGCGTGGTCGTGCTGGGGCGTGGTCGTGCTGGGGTGTGGTCGTGCTGTGGTGAGGTCGTGCTGGGGTGTGGTCGCGATGCGTCCCCATGGCACGTCCCTTGGCACGTCGCTTGGCGCGTCCCTTGAGACGTTCTGCGTCGCGTCCTCCTGGCATGTTCCCCTGTCCATTAGCTCTGGGGCAGCTACTATGTGTTCAGGCAGCTCGAGCTTAAGATCCAGATCAGTTCGGTCAGGACTCGGATGCAAAGGAGGACTCGATCCACGAGGCTATAGAGCACAATCGCGCCATGGCACATCGCAATTCAGCACGGCGCAGCACAGCACTGATTTCGGCACGGTACGTTTTTGAAATCCCGATCGATAAATCACAGGGTGCGGGACACCTCAGCACGACCACACCCCAGCATGACCACACCCCAGCACGACCACGCCCAGCACGACCACGCCCCAGCACGACCACACCCCAGCACGACCACACCCAGCCTCAGCACGCACGACCACACCCCAGCACGACCACACCCCAGCACGACCACACCCCAGCACGACCACACACCCACCCCAGCACGACCACACCCCAGCACGACCCCACCCCAGCACGACCCCACCCCAGCACGACCACCCCAGCACGACCACACCCCAGCACGACCCGACCCCAGCACGACCACCCCAGCAAGACCACACCCCAGCACGACCACACCCCAGCACGACCTCACCACAGCACGACCACACCCCAGCACGACCACGCCCCAGCACGACCACGCCCCAGCACGACCACCCCCCAGCACGACCACACCCCAGCACGACCACTTCCCAGCACGACCACACCGCCTTGGTTGAGTGGTTGCCTGTCGTCGTGGAATGTTTCGTGGGGTGTCTCGTGGAATGTTTCGCGGGGTGTCTCGTGGAATGTTTCGCGGGGTGTCTCGTGGAATGTTTCGTGAGGTGTCTCGTGGGATGTTTCGTGAAGTGTCTCGTGGGATGTTTCGTGAGGTGTTGCCCAGTTGGGTATCGTGAAAACGTGTCCATGCTCCACATGTCTATGTCCCTTTCCGGGTTCGTGGGTCCATCATGTTTTAATAAAAAAAATCCGTGGACCGAATCACGTGGACTGACCACCAGTTCTGTCCCACAGATCTTGCACAGCTGATGTTGCGCAACATTTGATGCACACCAGGTATATCGCAGGTCACGTTGCATTACGTAGGCGGCACCACATACATTCCCCCACGTATATTGCACAACATACACTGCTAGACGCATATGCCTTGGTGCCCACACGGGTTCGTATATCTTCATGTGTACGAGTATGTTCCCATGCTTGTATTTACTAAATATAGTTGGGGAGGAATAGAGAGAGAGAGAGAGAGAGAGAGAAAGAGAGAGAGAGAGAGAAAGAGAGAGAAGGGGAGGGGTACATATATATGGAGAACAGTAGAGAAAGAGAAATAGAGAGAGAGAGAGAGACAGACACAAAGAGAGAGCTATAAAGAGAACGTAAGGGATAACAAGAGAGGGTTACATTATGGGACAGAGAGAAACAGAGAAAGAGAGAGAGAGAGAACACATCGAGCATCATATTCCAGAAGGATCTGGATGTGTGTGTGTGGGGGGGAGAGAGAGAGAGAGAGAGAGAGAGAGAGGGGGAGAGAGAAAGAGAGAGAGGGAGAGAGCGAACGAGACGGATCCCCTCCCCCCATTCGCAATCCTGGTCTTCCGTCTCGTCGTCGAAACAGAAGAAGATGGATCGGGGGACAGAGGGGTGCTCTCATGAAGCAGGGGGCCATGTAGGCGCTCGCGTTCTCACATGAACTCGACGATCAGCCCGGTGACGCTGCTGACTTCGGGGCGCGCGCCTGGGAGGGGGGGGGCCAGCTTCTGCCGTGGCCTGTGCCTCCTTTGTTGGGCAGCGGGATCTTCATTTTCCTTCTCCCGTCCTTAACAGCATTTCTTTATCCTGCTCAGTGGATTCCTGTTGAGGTTGGGACCCAGGCGTGGGGTTTCATAGTTGTTCCCGGAAAGGGCATAGGCCCAGGGTTCTCTTTTAGTTGGTTTCCCCTCCGGTTTTGACGGCTGTAGGGCCGGCGAATTTCTTTTGCGATAAATAACGAGGTCGCGTATAGGGCCGGCGAATTAAAAATTGAGGATGTCCCTAGCGAAACGCTTGTTTTTCAGAATTTGTTGAGGATGTCTCGAGCGAAACGCTGGTTTTGCAGAGTTGGGGATGTCTCGAGCGAAACGCTTGTTTTCAGAATTTGTTGAGGATGTCTCGAGCGAAACGCTGGTTTTGCAGAGCCGACCGCGACGCGGAAAAGCGCCCCGCGCGCAGGAATTCCGATGATGTTTCGCGCGTGCCGCGTCCCGCGCGCAGGAATTTCGAGGATGTCTCGACTAATTCGTTTGTTCTGCCAGGATTCCTTTGAATGTTGGCAGGATGTCTCAAGCGAAATGCTTCTCTTTCATGATTGGTTGAGGATGTTTCGAGCGAGACGATGGTTTTGCAAAATGTTCATAATTTGTTGAGAATGTCTCGAGCGAAACACTGGTTTTGCAAAATTGGGGGATGTCTGGAGCGGGGGCCTCGTGGGGGGGCCAGAATTCAGAGGATGTCTCAGGCAAAATGCTTGTTTTCGCGTCCCGCTCGCAGGAATTTCGAGGATGTCTCGCGCGTGCCGCGTCCCCCGCGCAGGAATTTTGAGAATGTCTTGACTAATTCGTTCGTTTCGCCAGGATGTCCTTGGATTTTGACAGGACGTCTCGAGCGAAACGCTTGTCCCCAGCACGCCTTGGCACGTCCCGCGGTGCGTCCCCATGGCACGTCCCTTGGCACGTCGCTTGGCGCGTCCCTTGAGACGTTCCGCGGCGCGTCCTCCTGGCATGTCCCCCTGTCAATTAGCTCTGGGGCAGCTACTCTGTGTTCAGGCAGCTCGATCTTAAGATCCAGATCAGTTCGGTCAGGACTCGGATGCATAGGAGGACTCGATCCACGAGGCTATAGAGCACAATCGCGGCATGGCGCATCGCAACTCAGGACGGCGCAGCACCGCACATATTTCGGCACAGTACATCAATATCGATACACTCAGCATTGCAACTTGGCACGTTCCTTGGCACATTCCGTGGCGCGTCCCTTGGCGAGTCCAAGTGGCACGTCGCGCGGCGCATCCCTTGGCACATCCCGTGGCGCGTCCCCTGGCACATCCCGTGGCGCATCCATTGGCACGTTCCGTAGCGCGTCCCCTTGGCACGTCCCGCGGTGCCTCCCCATGGCATGTTCCTTGGCACGTCGCCTGGCGCATCCCTTGAGACGTTTCGCGGCGCGTCCTCCTGACATGCTCCCCTGTCCATCAGCTCTGGGGCAGCTACTATGTGTTCAGGCAGCTCGAGCTTAAGATCCAAATCAGTTCGGTCAGGACTCGGATGCAAAGGAAGACTCGATCCTCGACGCTATAGAGCACATTCGCGGCATGGCACATCGCAATTCAGCACTGTGCAGCACAGCACAGCCCTCGGCAGGGTACATCAATATCGATACACTCAGCATTGCATTTGCCCGTCACCCAATTAGGTGTTTTTGAAAACGCTGCCATGTGTTACAGCTCTATATTCCTTTCCGGGTTCGTGGGTCGATCATGTTTTTGATGTTCCTTCAGGCTTGGGTGTCCGTATCAATCAATTGATCATCGCTTGATGTTCAGATCGAGCGATGTCATGGTACAGGTACCCACGACACAATTTGTCTCACCAGCATTCGTGATGCCAGCAACCGCGGGCGTTACGATGGTCACCGTAACAGCGCAGCTTTTTATTTAATCGCTTCGCTCATTCCGCCGCCCCTGGAGCGCTATTTGGGGCCGTCTTGGGGGCTTCTTGGGGGCTTTTTGGGAGCGTCTTGGGGCTCCTTGGCGGCGTATTGGGCTCCCCTGGGGCCTCTGGGGGGGCTCTTGGGGGCCCCTTGGGGCGGGAGGGGGGGGTAGTCGTTGGCAGCCCCCCCCCTCGGAGGCCACGATCCTCGTGAGGGGTGGCGAAAAATACCCTCCCCTGGCGATCGCCCGGGGGTCAGCCGGGGATCGGCCTGGGTATTTTTCGTCCGGGGCCCCCCAGGGGCCGCCCCGCGCGCGAATTTGAAATATTGTTAAGTAGCTACCGGAGATCTTAGCACGCCTCTGGCCCGTTGGGCCGGCGAATTTGTGACATGTGATACAAGCTAAAATCACGCCCGTAGCCAAGACACTCAAGTCTGGAATTCCTGTTGGACTCTAAATTGCCCGAGACGCCATCTATGCACAAGAGTTCGTGGCAAGACATGCCGTACATAGTAATCCCATGTGAGGTCGCGAGTACGGAGGCCCCAACGCATTGAACCCTGAGTAGATTCACGCTTGCGGAGCCGTTCCTCCGGCGCGGAATTTCGAAGTCGGCGGAGGGTGTCCTGAAATGGTGGCTCCCTTTCCAGAGATTGCCTTTGTGCTGGCGCTTTCGGGGTCGGGTCGGGGCTCCGGGCCAGGACCCGGGTCCGGGGTCTGGTCCGCTTGGGACTGGCCATGTGACGTGTCAGTGGACGTGCCACGGGACGTGCCAGGGGACATGTCAGGAGACGTGCTGCAATACATACCTCATCTTGGCTTATTTCAACAACGCCCTGGGCGTTTTTTTTTTTTTTTTTTTGTTGTGTTTGTTTTTCCCGTTTTCTAGTTTGGGCTCTTGACAGGCTGACAACGCACAAACACGCTACGTTTTCTTTGCAGTTTAGGGCATTTTTTATGCGTTTTCAGGTTCGTCGCTGTGGTGTATGTAGCGTTTTGCTATTTTTTTGCATTATCGTCGAAGGTTCCTCCTTGTCTTCTCCGCCAGCTTGGCTCCCGCGCTCCCCGCCCTGCCACCGATCGCCGTTTCTGCCCCCCCTTCCCTCTTTCAGGTCGACGCACCTGCCTGGATCCGTGAGCTGCGCACATGTGGGGTGGGGTGGGGGGGGGGGGGGCAAAAACTGGTTCCCGCGCGGAGACCAAACAACGCAAAAAAACTCGGACACCGGTCTAACACCGGAATGGGGGGTGGCAGCAGGGGAGGGCGGGCTTCCGCGATGAGTCACCAGCGACGGCCACAGAAAAAACAACTTGTGTAAGAAGACAGTAGTGATACGCAAGGAGAAGGAACGCAATCCACGAATCTGCAAACGCTAAAAATGGTGTGCAAAACGCTAAAGCAACGCATCATGTTTAAAGCGTTTCAAGTTTGATGTCCAAGACGCCGAGATGAAATCGCAAAAAAACGTCCTGGACATATTTATGATTAGCCAAGATGACTCATCTTGTTGTCAGGGTGTGATGTCGGGACAATTTTGGACAATTTGCGGGCGAGATGCCAGTGCGGCCTGCAGACGTTATGCATGGGTTCCCGGTGGACGTGGTAATCAGTTGCCGAGCCTAGTTCTCAGTTCATGTGGCTAATTTGCGATTGCTTGAAGGTTTCTGACACGACCCTGATCTTGCGGACGAGTGTGGGCAATGACGTCACGTGGTAGGATCCACAAATCAGTTCAAATTTTCTCCCTTCTCTGTAGGGGAGGCGAGAGCAGCAGAAGGTGGAACAGGGACTGGACTAGAGGGAGGGCAATTGGGAGGGAATGGGGCTTTGGGGAGGATGCACACCTGGGTCCCATTCCTGGCTCGACCCCAGGAAGCGAGCGTGACTCCCCCCATCTTTCCTCATCCCTCAGTCCTTCCACGTCACTCCATGATAACTGCATATCAGCATCGCCCATTCCACAACTCCCATCGCACCTCTATCATAATTTCTTCTACGCTTATCAGCTTTCGCATATCATCCTCATCCTCATCATCATCATCAGCAGCAGCAACATCATCATCATCATCATCATCATCATCATCATCATCATCATCATCATCATCATCATCAGCATCATCAATGTCATCGCGTAAAATCATTTGATCGCATCCATTTCATCGCATAGCATCGTCGCATATCAGCGCATTCCTCACCCCTCATGTATCTTCCATGCTCCTCCATCATCATCTGTTCTACGGCACCTCAGCTCCGCTCCTGTAAGGACTTTATCTCCGCGCTGTGCACGCCCCTTCGGCAGTGACGTACAAGGACTTCGCGTTCTGATCGTGCTCCGCCCGGCTCCTGCGCGCTCCTCTTCTCGCCACCTGCCGTGCCCAGTTCGGCCACGTGCGTCCCGCGTCTGCCTTTGAGAGTTGCGAGGCGTTTGCTGCGGCAAAAACTTCTACGGCACCTCGCCAGCACCGCCGCCCCAGGGGGCTCCTCGTAACGCGGCCTCAAGGTGGGAGCCCTTGACGCCGATGGCCTCTGCAAGAGTTCCGCAGCAGGACCGCGCGGGTTATCGTTCGGGAGAGCGGCAGTAGCAGCCCTGATTTGACATGGGTGGCCGTTCGATGATCGACAAAGAGAATCTGGCATAAACAAGCGTTTGACGGTCCGCGCCGCGGATGTCCCGCGCTGGGCCCCCGTCCACGAAAACCAGTGTCCAACTTGTGTTTGCTGTTGCTTGTTGTTTCGGGTCGATTGTTGTTGCTTGCTGGATGCTTTTTGCTTATTTTGGTTGCTTGTTCACTATTGATGCTTACTTGCTTGTTGTATGCTTGCTTGCTGCGTTGACTTACAAGACATCCAAAGCAGGCCAGCAAGGCCGCCAAGATGGCACAAAAACGCTCCAAGGCAACACAAGATATACACAAAATTACCCAAGGTGGCCAAGGGATCGCCCGATAGGCTTCCAAGACGGCAAAAAAGGCTCCGAGGAAGCCTCCAGCAAGGCCCAAAGAAACCAAACAGCCATTGATTGTCCATATGTTGTGCAATCATTTCCGCACAATCTTGTATTCGAGTTTCCGTCGGCTCAAGACGGCCCAAGAGGCCTCGAACAAGGCCCTAAGAGAACCCAAGAGGGCCGCAAGATAGCTCAAGAGGCTTCCAAGACGGCTTCAAGACAGCCCAAGAGAGTCCTCGGAGAGCACATGACGGGCCGGGGAGGGCCTCAAGCTAGCCCTACGGGGCCTCCGAAGGACTCACGGCGGCCTAAGAGGACCCCCGGACAGCCCAAGACGGCCCCACGACGGTTTCAAACGACCCCCCCCATACGGCCACGAAGGCCACAAGAGAGCCCTAAAACAATTAAAGAGGGCCTCGAGACAGCCCAAGGGAACCCTAAGGAACCCCCAAGACGGCTTCCCAGGAGCTCAGGACAGGCCAAGGACGGTCCAATTGAGATCCATGTGGCCTCTGCAGAAATTAAAAGGAAAGATGTCGCATATGGCGGCGTTCCTGTTCGTCGTCGTCGTCGTCCTCCACATCTGCCTCCTTCTCGTCGTTTTCCTCCTGCTCCTCCTCCCCATGCCATCATTATCATTACCGCCATCCTCGTCCTAGTCCTCCTCATGATCACCATCATGCCCATCATCACCGCCACCACCACCACGACCATCATCATTATCATCACCATCATCATCATCACCAACGGGGACGGTGGGGGAACGGTGGGGGGAGTGTTTCGCTGGCCTTCGGACGCAGCGTCCGTCTTGGCAATGGGCAGTGCGCAATGCCGTCGCAGGAGGGTGGACGATCATGCAGCGTATGTACGTCTCTGGCACCGTTCCCGGCCTTTTTTTAGGAACCTCCGACGTGCCCGACGCGATAGCAATTCTTTTCTCCTGTCCCGAGCCTCGACGCCCCATTGGCTTTTCCACCTTTCCCATTCACATGCTGGGCCTGGCGGCTCCGAGCGAATACGATTCCGCCGATTGTGCGATGAGCCGAGCTGGAGTGCTGACGCTCTGTGTCTTGGGGCTCCGTGTGTACTGCAAGGCCAAAGCATTGCATGAGCTGGCCAATCGCTGCGCGACGTGCAGCCTGATGGCGTCCTTGCAGCTGACTGTCGCCTCTCTTTCAGGTAGGCTGCTGGTGGACAAACCACTTTATTGGTGCGGCCGATCATCACCATTATCATCGCGTCATGCGATTCATTCACCGTGTCCGCCACAGTCCCTTTCCTCCTCCTCGTGTTCCTCTTCCTCCTTTTCCTGTTGCTTCTCCAATCCCGAGCATCGTGCTTACCTCCTCGTGGTGGTCATCATCGCCATCAACAGCATAGCGACTATCATTTTCATCGTCGTAACCGTCGTAATCATGATCATGGTCATGGTCATCATCAGCATCGCCACCAGCACGATGATCGCCAGCATCGTCTTCATCGAACTGAATGTCCCCCACCGGAAATGCGGGGAGGGACTTGCCAAGCCGATACGCAGGCCCACAGCGGAACGATGTGGCCCCGAACGTTTCTAAGAAACACACAGAAGTCAAATTCAGGCGCGAATCTACAGGCAAAATTGACACTGATAATTCTTTTGTCTATCTAGAACTAGCGTGGATCTTAGCGCTTGCGGACGCGTGCGAAAACGCAGGTCGACAGGCGGGGCTCTTCGCGGCCGCGCGCGTTCATCCCTCGCCCGGTTGCCCTTGAAATGCAAATATATGAATGACCGCGACGTCGCGTGCAATTTCAAACGCCGCGGCCGCGCGCTTCGAGGATTGTCGCCCGAACCTGCTGGAGTGAATCGCTTTGTCCTCGCCGATGAGGGCGCAGCTGCGTTCCGCGGGTCGCCGCGCAACAAATCGACGGACCCGCGACCTGAGCGCCGCGAGCTAATCGAAGCGCCCTGCGTTTTCGCGGGGAAACGACGCGCCTCAACCGCGGAGCCCTGCGTGGGACATGCGACGCGAAACCTCGGAGATACTGCGACCGACGTTTCCGTGAGCTGTCGAATTGGCGCAATTCTCCGCGGTTTGCCATGTGACACATTAAACATATTTCGCCCTTCGCTCGAATGCCAATGCGCCGCGCCGGCAACTCGAGCGTTCCACGGCCAAGAAAACCGAACGGACAAAATGCGACAGCGGCGAATTTCAAAACATTGGCACGGCGTCGGCGAATGAATGCAAATTTGGAGTTTCGTCAGAAACGCGACGAGCGATCAATCTGCGCTTCGCTCTTCCGTCCCACTCGCGCGCAAGATCGACGCCCCCGTCGACCAACGCAACGGGGCTGGTATGTTTTTGAATTTTGCGATAGTTGCGCCCTTCAAGCGATCGATGACTCATTGGCAGTGCGCGGTTCCACGCGCCGCGCGAGGGCGCTGCGCGCCCGTCCTTCCTCGCTCTCACGAAGCGCGTTTTTGAACATCTGCGAAAGCGACGCCCGCCAAAACATTGGGGGCGAGCTATTGAGTAGGTTTCCGCGCGCGGCGCGGCGAGCTGCAACGACGTAGCCGCAATCGGAGTAAGTGCCATGAGTCGCAGCCGTAATCGTGGTCACGGTCGTCGTCATCATCGCCATCATAATGGATTTTCGCCAGCGTCGTCTGCGTCGAAGTGAGTGCCCCCCCGCCGAAAATGCAGAGTTAGCTTGGCGGCGGGATTTGCCGACCCGCTGCGCCGCCCCGCAGCGGAACGGCGCGGCCGCGACAGTTTCTCAGGGCCAAACGCAGTCCGAACTTATTCGGGGGCAAACCTACAAGCAGAGCGGACGCTGGCTGATAATCTGCATTCTATAAAATTTGCGTGGGCCCTCGCGTTTGCGAATGCCAGAGCGGGGATGCGCGCGGGAACGCAGGTCGACGGGTGGGGCTCTTCATGGCCGCGCGCGCTCGTCCCTCGGCCGATTGCTTTTTCAATGCAAATATATGAATGACCGCGACGTCGCGTGCAATGTCGAACGCCGCGGCCGCGCGCTTCGAGGATTGTCGCCCGAACTTGCTGGAGTGAATCGCTCTGTCCTCGTCGACGAGGGCGCAGGCAGCTGCGTTCCGCGGGTCGCCGCGCAAAACTCGACGATCCCGAGATCTGAGCGCCGCGAGCTAATCGAAGCGCCCTGTGATTTCGCGGGGTAGCGACGCGCCTCGACCGCGGGGCCCTGCGCGGGGCACGCGAAACGAAACCTCGGAGCTGCGGGCGGCGTTTCCGCGCGCTGTCGCGCGGGCGCAATGCCGCGCGGATTGCCTCGTGGTGCAGTGGACATCGATCTCGCACTTCGCTCGATTGCGCCAATGAGCTGCGCCGGCATCCCGAGCGTTCCACGACCAAGAGAACCGAACTGACAAAACGCGTCAACGGCGAAGAGCAAACCATTCGTAGGGCGTCGGCGAACGGGCGCAACTTTGGGGCGCGCCAGACGCGCGACGAGCGACCAATCTGCGCTTCGCTCGCCCGCCCCACTCGCGCGCAACGTCGGTGCCCCCCTTCGAGCGACGCACGCAGCGGATTTATTCTTGAGATTTTGCGATAGTGGCGCTTTTCAGACAATCGGACACAGATGGGCAGTGCGCGGTTCCACGCTCCGCGCGAGGGCGCCGCGCGCCCGTCCGCGTTTACTTTCGCGAGACGCGTTTTTGAAAATTTGTGAAAGCGATTCCCGTCCAACCAGTGAGAACGAGCGACTGAACGAGATTCCGCGCGCGGCGCGGCGAGCTGTTCCCCGCCCGAACAACCCCCCCCCCCCCGCGCCCCGACGCGCCGGCGGAGGAACGTTTAGGAACATTTGCGACGGCGACGCCCATCAAAACGCCAGCAACGCGTTAACTTTGCATGGTTCCACGCGCCGCGAGAACAACCCGAGCGACCCTCGTCTCATCCGCCGTCGCGAACGAAGCGTTTTCGAACATCTTCGATAGCGCCAGCAACAAGGGAACCACGCGTGGTTCCGCTCGCGGCAGAGCAACCCCGGCGCCGACAACAAGCGAGCGATGCAAGGGTTCCACGCGCCGCGAGAACAACCCAGCATCTGCTGGGGCGGGCGTTCACCGATGCCCAGTGGGAGACGCGCTTCGAAAAGCCGATCGCCAGCGTGCGCGAATGCGTCGGGGTTGTTCGGCGCATCGCGCAGACGCGCCCGCGCACGTTGACCCGCGAGGATCTGAAGGGGGCGCCCGTGCTGGCGCGCCTGCGGCGCGCGGGGTCGCAGTTTTACTGCGCGCAGAACGTGGCCGTTTTCAGGTGCCTGCGCCCGGGCGCATTGACGAGCGCGATGCGGGGCGATACTGTCCATCGACAGATCAGGGACTGAGGGCGCCGCGTGCGCCGGTGCCATCGGGAGTGCGTCCTCCTCGCGGGCAAGATTTTGGGCGCTTGTAAGGCGCTCGCGCGCTCGTGCCGGCCGTGCGCGGCGTCTCTCCTCGAGGGGTGGGGGGTCGCGCTGGTCGCG